CAAAAAGATGAAGACAGACCGAGAGCCCGCGAACAAGCTCTCGAAACTCTTATAGCAATTACAGTACGCGGAGAGCCGCGAAACACGCGCCGAGCCGGTATGTGACGCGGTGGACTTGGTGTGCATAGACGAGGCGCACCCGGAGCGATGCGTCGAAACAGGAACCAAACTGGAAGAGCCTCTGAGAAGCGAACTCCTTTCCCTCCTCAAAGAGAACATCAACACCTTTGCCTGGACAGCGGAAGATATGCCAGGAATAAGCATCGACGTAACCTGTCACGAGCTGAATGTGGATCCGACCTTTAAACCAGTCAAGCAGAAAAGAAGAAAGCTCGGCCCCGAAGAAGCAGTGAACGACGAAGTCGAGAGGTTACTCAAAGTAGGATCAATCGCCGAGGCCAAATATCCGGACTGGCTCGCAAATTCGGTGGTCGGGAAAAAGAAGAACGGCAAGTGGCGGGTCTGTGTGGATTTCACTGACCTCAACAAGGCGTGCCCAAAAGACAGCTTTCCTTTGCCACACATCGACCGGCTCGTCGAAGCTACTGCAGGAAATAGACTGTTAACATTTATGGACGCGTTCTCTGGCTACAATCAGATTCTGATGCACCCTGATGATCGGGAAAAAATGGCATTCATAACTGATTGCGGAATATACTGCTACAAAGTCATGCCGTTCGGGCTCAAGAACGCAGGAGCAACGTATCAACGGCTCGTCAACAAAATGTCTGCAGCTCAGCTCGGAAAAACCATGGAAGTATACATCGACGACATTTTAGTCAAATCACTCAAGGAGGAAGACCACACCGCGCATCTACGGAAATGCTTCGAGCAACTGAACAAGCACATCATGAAATTAAACCCGCCGAAGTGCAGATTCGCTGTCACCTCGGCTATCTGGTAACTCACCGAAGCATAGAAGCAAACCCCAAGCAGATCAAGGCATTGATTGAGATGCCCTCTCCAAGGACAAAGCGCGAAGTGCAAAGGCTCACAGGAAGAGTCGCCGCGCTCAACAGGTTTATTTCCCGCTCCACAGACAAGTGCCTGCCCTTCTACGACACCCTCTGAGGAAACAAGAAATTTGAGTGGGACGAGCGATGCGAATCAGCTTTCAATTGAAGAATTATCTGGTGAGTCCACCGATCTTAGCAAAACCAGTTGATGGAGAGTCGCTCTTCCTCTACATCGCAGTATCTGCTACAGCTGTAAGCGGAGTGCTTATCAGAGAAGAACGATCCGAGCAAAAACCCATTTTCTACATCAGCCAGACACTGACCGACGCCGAGACCCGCTACCCCCAGATCGAGAAGGTCGCCCTAGCCATCGTAGTCTCGGCCCGCAAACTGCGACCGTACTTTCAATCACATTCGATTGTTGTGCTCGCTACACTTCTGCTGCGCTCGATCCTACATAGCCCGAGCCAATCCGGTCGGCTCGCCAAGTGGGCCATAGAGCTAAGCGAGTACGACACCGAGTATCGGAACAGGTCGTCCGCAAAGTCACAGGTGCTCGCAGATTTTCTCATTGAACTTCCAGCCGAAGCCGCAAACGAGCCGACTCTAGACGAAGTATGGACGCTGCACGTCGATGGCTCGTCGTCTAAACACGGCTCGGGGATAGGAATCCGTCTCACCTTTCCTACTGGAGAAATATTGGAGCAGTATTTTCGTCTGAACTTCCACGCCTCGAACAATGAAGCAGAATACGAAGCACTGATCGCCGGCGTACGACTAGCGCAGGGAATCGAGGTTCGAAAGATAAGGACTTTTTGTGATTCACAGCTTGTAGCATGCCAGTTCAACGGATAAAATGAGGCGAAGGATGGACGAATGGGAGCTTATCTCAAGGTGGTCCGAGAGTTGGTGCAAAAGTTCGACGAGTTCGAACTCACGCGAATCCCCCGAGGAGAAAACACCTCGGCCGACGCCTTGGCAGCACTCGCTTCGACCTCGGACCCAGACCTCCGACGGACGATCCCAGTCAAATTCATCGAACGTCCTAGCATCGAAGAGGTGGAAGGAGTTCGGCTGATAAATCCTCCTGAACAAGAACCGGAGGACGACGAAGCCATTCCTATGGACGAAGACACCTCACCAGCCGAGCCGGAATACGGCTGCGACAAAGAATGGCTCGGAGCTATCCGAGTGTATATTGCCGTTGGAGAGGTTCCAACCGACAAATGGGAAGCCCGCAAACTAAAAGCTCAGGCCGCGCGGTATGTCCTCGTCGATGGCGAGGTGTTTAAATGGAGATTTTCAGGGCCTCTCATGACATGCGTCGAAGGATCGGAGGCATGAAAGATCATGCACGAGGTGCACAGCGGCGCGTGCGGGAACCATTCCAGCGGAAGGTCGCTCGCTATCAAGATAAAACGGCACGGATACTTCTGGCCCACAATGGTCAAGGACTGCGACAAATTTATGGCAAAGTGCGAGAAGTGTCAGCGGCACGCTCCAACAATTCATCAACCTACCGAGTTGCTCTCATCAATTTCGTCACCTTATCCGTTCATGAGATGGTCGATGGACATCGTCGGACCTCTACATCGCTCGAAGCAGAAGCCTTTTCTGCTCGTCCTCACGGATTACTTCTCCAAGTGGGTCGAAGCCGATTCCTACGCAAGCATAAAGGATGTTCAAGTCGAACACTTCGTCTGGAAAAATATCATCTGCAAACACGGCGTCCCCTACGAGATAGTCACCGACAATGGATCCCAGTTCATTTCAACATGCTTTGAAGTTTTCTGCGATAAGTGGAAAATCCGTCTAAGCAAATCTACGCCAAGATACCCTCAAGGGAACGGGCAAGCCGAAGCAGCCAACAAGACGATCCTCGACGGTCTGAAAAAGAGGCTCGACGCCAAGAAAGGACGGTGGGCAGACGAACTCGAAGGAATCCTTTGGTCTCATCGGACAACTCCGCGCCGAGCCACCGGGGAAACTCCATTCCCCTTGGTCTACGGAACAGAGTGCATAATCCCCTCCGAGGTGGATTTCTCAGGTATTCGACGAAGACTTCTACCAGGACAGGAGGGCTTGAACCACTTAATGATGCTAGATGAGCTCGATCTAATCAACGAAAAGCGTGACCAAGCCTTAATCCGAATCCAGAACTATCAACAAGCAACAGCGAGATACTACAACAAAAACGTTCGTAGTCGAAGATTCAAAAAAGGGGAGCTCGTCCTCCGAAAGGTCTTCCAAAACACTGCCGAGAAGAACGCAGGAAAGCTCGGAGCAAATTGGGAAGGTCCTTACAAGGTTACAAAAGTGGTTCGTCCAGGAGTCTACGAACTCGCGACGCTAGCTGACGACGCGATTCCAAGGTCGTGGAACGCAATGCATCTAAAGAAGTATTATCACTAAAGCTACAACACGGCCAGCATGAACTACATGACGGCTTGATCCCTGCAAAGGGTACGTAGGCAGCCCGTCCTCGGACGGGTTCAGCTGTCCCCCCTCCTAAAAAAGGGGGGGGGGAGTGGGTACGTATACACATACCTCCTTTACACTCTACAATTTTAGCTTGCCATCTTAGAGCATGTACATCAGGGGATCAAGAGGGGTTCATGGCACAGTTTTTGAGACAAAAGAGCTTAATCTTGAAGAGACAGTATCATCCCGACGAACCTGAAGAGACGGTATCATCCCGAAATGAAGCATTCTGATTGGTCAAAAATTATAATTTTCGAATTAAATAAAAAATAAAAACTAAAAGAAAAAACAAATATTATTATATTCTGGTGAACCCTTCTCTTAGGGGTTCACTGATGTACATGCTCTTAGGAACATAGCCACTTCGGCCCATTTTCAGATCGTTTTGAATCATCTACTTATTTCATGTTTACCTTGGATTTCTAGTTCATTCATTATCGCTTCGGCTAGTTTCTCATTCTTTCTAAATCGACAACTTATTTTAACAAGCTCGGATTATTAAATTCTTTCACTCATCACTTCGGCGAGTAATCATACCACTTCGGCATGATATCATTACCTTGGACCTTTATTGGTCCTCAGTCTCAGTTCGGCAAACTAAGCCTCCGAACGCCTCGTCTCGTTGCTGGCCACAACGGGGCAAGAACTACAAAGTTCTCTAAACGGACTTTTACCACATTTCCTAGGACGAGGGTGCAACTTACATCCTCTACGGATAAAAATTAAGCGCGCTATACAAATATCAGACCAAAAACGTATCAGGTCGCCACGGTTTACTATTGCACACGAGATTATAAGTCGAGACTACATCGCTTTCTCTAAAACCGAAGTAAACTCTTAAAACCCGGACAAACATACTCATCCTCTCGGAAACGCCGGTCCATAGTCAAACTCAATGAGACTACCAAATCATCCTTGGCTAACAAAACAAAACGCCTCGTCGTTTTTCACGGCTCGGCACCATGCGAAGCGAAAACGCCTCGTCGTTTACACTGCTCGGCACAACGCAAGAGAAAACGCCTCGTCGTTTACCCGGCTCGGCACCATGCACAGCGAAAAACGCCTCGTCGTTTACACGGCTCGGCATTATGCACAGCGAAAACGCCTCGTCGTTAAATACGGCTCGACATTGCCAGCGGAAATTTGCCTCGACATTATCACTTAAAAATTTTTTTTCCGGCATCACCCAAAAGACGCTCCACAAAACTAACTCCCAGCTCGGGATTAAGAGTCCAAACGAGATCCTTAACACAACTCCCCCCTTAGCCTGTATTTCTATCAATTTCGAAAAGTTCGGCTAAAGAAGCAATCAAAATCATTCTCGATACACAGTTTTCATCCTTGACAATTTTTCTAAGCCAACAGTTTTCGTAAACATTTTCACGGATCGTTAGACAAGTAAATCCGAAAACGGCTAAGGAAAATAAAATATATCCATAAAGCAAAAATAAATGTCAGGTGGATAAAGCCGTCCAGGCACCGGTTACATAAAAAGTTCAAAAAGCAGAAAAAAAATCCTAAGTACAGAAGCACGTGAGACAAAATAGGAGAAAGCAGAGAGTATCAGGCCGCAGACCGCGTTTCACGCTCGGCAAGCAGGTTCGAGAGGACCAGCGTACCCGCGTTCGATCCGTTCGGATCTACGACGCCTAAGTTGGCCACTGTCTCTTCGAGCGGCTCGTTACCAAGGCTGGTGTCGACCGAGTCCGGCGATACGGGCGAGAAAACCAGCTCGCCTCGAATCTCGGAGGCGATGCGCTCATACGCGTCGCCGTCGGCGTATTCGCTCTCCCACCTCTTTAGCTGCGCCTCCTCATCATCGAGCGTTGGGGCGTCTGGTTTCTTCAGGACGGCAATCATCGCAAGGTTACCCTTGATTTGCGCCAGATCGTTCTCGTCGTTCTTGGCCTTCTCGAGCTTAGCCAGACCCTCCTCTACTTTGGCGAGGCGCTCCTAAAACTTAGCAGTCAGCTCTCGCCTCGCCTCCTTCTTCGCACGCTTGACCTTGGCTTCGAACAGAGCATCCTAGGCCTCAAGACACCTTTTAAGCAACGCCACCTCGGCGCTTTTGGCTCTCCTTGCTTCCTCCAGGCGAATCACCGAGGCGGAAACTTTGTCAACGTCGGCGCGGAGAACTATCTTCTCCTCTTCCAACCTCGACACTCTGGACATCGCCTCGTCAAGTTTCCCTTTTGCCGCCGCAGCTTCGTTCTGAGCCTCTTCCAGCTTCGCCCTTGACGCCGCGGTCTCATTTCGGGCCTCGTCCAAGCGACGTTCGACCTTAGACAGGTCCGCCTCGTACTCGGCCATCAGGTCGTTAATGGCCGCGACAAACTGCAAAGAACAAACTCGCGTTAAACACTTAGTAAAAATTTTCGAAAATAAAGCAAAGCAAATAGAGCGTACCTTGGTACCGCGCCGTGCCATCGCGCTGTACGACCTCGGCCTCCTCAGCTTCTCCGGAGGAGGAAGACGCGTGTTCGCGTTATTTAAACGCGAGAACATGATGGCAGAGGCGTCGGGGTCGTCAACGACCAACTTGCGCGCGGCGGGGTCCCCGGGCGTCGGCTTCCGCCTCTTCTTGGACGGCTCGTCCTTCTGAACAGCAACGCCCTTCCCCTTGTCAGCGGCCGAACGTTTTCGGCTCGGGTCATGTTTCTGAACAACTGAAGTCGGGCGCCTCGTCGACTTCGAGAGGGCTAAAATGGCGGAGTTCGAAGGAGTTTTGCTCCGCACAGCCAAATTATCCCCGGACACCTCGGGAATAATTTCTCCCGGTTCCACCTCGGGCGCTGCATCTCTCTCGACCGCCTCGGCAGTGTTGCCTTCTGCGGCTCGGACCATTTCGTCTCCTTCCCAGCTCGGCGGGTCGGGTTGAGGGATGACCTTGGTTTGCGCTGGAACCACCTCGGTCTGCGCTTGAGCTGCCTCGGCAGCTCGTCTCGCGGCCGCCTCTTCTTCGCGCGTCTTCCTATCTCTCAGAGCGATTATCACCATTTTCTCTCGTGTATCCCGTGAGGAGCTGGAAGATGAAGAACTGACAGGGACTCTGGCAAGGATAGCTCGGGCTTTCTCTACTCTCTCGAGGGTGAAATTCTTCCTCCAATTGACCTTCCGAGCCGAAAGAGAGTCTCGAACAACAAAGAGGTCGTCGGGGATCAGGGGAAGAAAGCACTGAACTGCAAAACAAAGCAAAAAAAAAACAATTTTCAGTAAGGGAAGAGGATACCAAAAAACAGTTCCGAGCCGAGGCAAAGCTTCGGGTCGGCTACCAAGTGGTCTTGGTTCTTTGAACGTAATCCTCGCCGACCGACGCCTCGTTCACCAAGACGTAGAAGAAGCGTTCAGTCCAAAACTGATCCTTGCTGGGAAAACCGTCTATGATCCGCCGCTTTGCCTTGTTGGAAATATAGAATCTGTTTCCTTTCAGAGCTTTCCTGATTTCCAGCAAGTTCAGCAGGTGATTCAGCTCGATATCAAGTCCGCATTCGAAGCTTCGAACTAAGATGTCAATCATATGCCGTAATCCCCTCGGCATGATTTGCCCAATCGAGATCCCGTGTTTCCAGAGATATTCAAGGATCACTCCGGGAATCGGGAACCAGAGAAAGCAAAGCTCGAAGAACGCCTCGTATAGAGTGAAGTGATTCTCTGGAGGCTTGTCGGCTCGGTCGCTCTTCTCTGGAACGACGAACTCCACCGCCTCGGATATCCCGAAGCGATGCCTCAATGCCTCGAGCGACTCAAGGGAGCAAAGCGTAGAGCCAGGCGGGTCAGGTTTTTGTCTCTTAACTCGTGGCCCTCGCCCAGATGTGGAAGCGCCTCGGGACGCCATGAGACGTTCCAATTCACGCTTCGCCTCAAAAAAGTCAAAGGGAAATGCCTCCTCCTCGGCTTTAAGTGCGGCGCGATTAATGTCCTCATCAGGAACGGGGTCCTGGGGACGGCTCGTCGAAACCGACGGCTCGTCACCCGGAGAGCCGACATCTGACGGATTTGTATGATTTGACGCCTCGTCAGATGAACGATTGGAAGGGCTCGGTGAAACAGACGCCTCGGAGGATTCTGTCATACCTCTCGCCTCGGCATCTACGCGGCTCGGCTCGTAATGAAAAAGTGAATCCAACGAATCCTCAGAGCGGTTCGACATAATTTACGACTTGTACAAGAGTTACAGCACGACTCGGCGAGCCTCCGCCGGAAAAAGATCTGGAACGGCGGAGACCTCGGAAACCCTAGCCGGAAAATAAATAAACTAGAGAGAGAAAGAAGAGAGAAGGGATAGCTACCTTTAGTAAAAACGAGTGAGTCTGAAGATAATGAGGAAGAATGAAGGAGCTCACCCATTTATAGGAAAACCGAAGCGCGTGAATTCCGTGTAAACCTCGGGAAACCGTCCAAACAGCAAGGATTTCTCTTATCCTTGCAGATAGATCAGTTAGATTGCCTGTTGGTATGTTGGAAGATCTACCTGTCAAGATAGGTGGTTTTGAGGTTCCAACTGATTTTGTTGTGCTGGAGATGGATGAAGAACCAGTAGATCCTCTTATCTTGGGCAAGCCATTCTTAACAACTGCAGGAGCCATAATTGATGTGAGAGGTGGGATAATAGAGCTTCAACTTGGGTCTGAAAAGCTCAAGTTTGATGTGAATGAGATGATGAAGAAACCCACCATTGAAGGTCAATGTTTCTATGTGGAGACAATGGATCAATTGGCTGATGAGTTGCTAGAGGAGCTGAACACTGAGGATCCTCTTCAAGCTGCTCTAACTCAAGAACAAGGAGACAATGGGCTCTTAGCTGAAGCAAGTGAAGGGTACAAGTTGTATTTGGACAATGCTAGAGAGCTGGGTCCTGAGACAAGGTTTTTGGAGCTGGAACAAAGTGGCTCTGAGGTTTTTGCTATCAAAGGATCAGACACCAGCCAAAGCAGCTTGGACCAGGATTGGAATGAGGCTGATGCACCCCCTGTTGAGCTCAAGCCTCTACCAACAGGGCTCAAGTATGCCTTCTTGGGCTTAAACTCAACATATCCAGTAATCATCAATGATAGCCTATTAGAGGATCAAGAGAGTGCATTGCTTAGTGAGATAAGAATGTTCAGGAGAGCCATAGGGTATTCTTTGGCTGATATTAGAGGGATCTCTCCTGACATTTGCACCCACAGGATCCACCTAGAGGACCAATCTATGTCCTCTATTGAGCATCAATGACGTCTTAACCCCAACCTTAAGGAAGTGGTTAAGAAGGAGATACTAAAACTTCTTGAGGCAGGGATAATCTACCCAATCTCTGACTCAAGATGGGTGTCTCCTGTTCATGTTGTGCCCAAGAAGGGTGGGATCACAGTGGTTAAAAACGAGAAGGATGAGCTGATAGCTACTAGGACTATCACAGGACACAGAATGTGTATAGACTATAGAAAGCTCAATGCAGCCTCTAGGAAGGATCATTTTCCTTTACCTTTCATTGATCAGATGTTAGAGAGGCTTGCAAACCACCCCTTCTTTTGTTTTCTCGATGGGTACTCGGGGTTCTTCCAAATTCCCATAGATCCTCGGGATCAAGAAAAAACAACATTCACATGCCCTTATGGCACATTTGCATACAGGCGAATGCCTTTTGGTCTCTGTAATGCCCCTGCCACATTTCAACGTTGCATGATGCATTTCTTCTCTGACATTATTGAAGAGAAGGTGGAGGTGTTCATGGATGATTTTAGTGTCTATGGCTCCTCCTTCTCGGATTGTCTCTCTAATTTGTCACAGGTCTTGGAGAGATGTGAGCAGCATAACTTGGTGTTGAACTGGGAGAAATGCCACTTCATGGTGCAGGAAGGAATATTTCTTGGGCACAAGATATCTGAGAAGGGCATAGAGGTTGACAGAGCAAAGGTGGAAGTGATGGTGAATCTGCAAACTCCCACTTCAGTTAAAGGGATAAGGAGTTTCCTTAGGCATGCAGGGTTTTACAGAAGATTTATCAAAGACTTCTCAAGAATTGCCAGGCCCTTGACAAGGCTGTTGTGTAAAGAAGTTGATTTCATCTTTGATGCTGAATGTGAAGAGGCCTTCAAGATGATCAAGGATGCATTAGTCAGTGCACCAATAGTCCAGGCACCAGATTGGTCCCTTCCTTTTGAGGTTATGACAGATGCATCTGATTTTGCAGTTGGAGCAGTTCTTGGGCAAAGGAAGGAAAAGAAGCTACATGTTATCTACTATGCCAGTAGAACACTTGACTCTGCACAAGAGAAGTATGCTACTACTGAGAAGGAAATGCTGGCAATAGTCTTTGCTTTTGATAAATTCAGACGCTACCTGGTGGGATCAAAAGTCATTGTATATACTGATCATGCAGCCCTCAGGTATCTGATGACCAAGAAAGATGCCAAACCAAGACTGTTAAGATGGGTTCTTCTACTTCAGGAATTTGATATGGAAGTACAAGATAAAAAGGGTATAGAGAATGGAGCTGCAGACCATCTCTCCAGGCTGAGGATTGATTCTGAAGTGCCTCTCAATGATAGTCTACCAGAGGAATCACTGATGGTGCTCCATTCCTACTTGGAGTTTAAAGAAGTAGAGAGTATTCAGGAGAGAAGGATGCCTTGGTTTGCAGACATAGTGAATTATCTTGCCTGTGGAGTAGAACCTCCTGAATTGGATGCTTACAACAGGAAGAAATTCTTCAGAGATGTCCAGAGATACCATTGGGATGAGCCTTACCTCTATGTACTAAACAAAGATCAGCTGTATAGAAGGTGTCTTGCTGAGGAGGAGATGCAACCTGTGTTGCAAGAGTGTCATGGTTCAGCCTTTGGGGGTCACATGGGAGCATTCAAGACTGTGGCAAAGGTTCTTCAGAGTGGATTTTGGTGGCCCACAATGTTCAAAGATGCTCAGTTGGTGGTTTCAGCATGTGCTGCCTGTCAAAGGCATGGGAACATATCAAAGAGGAGTGAGATGCCTCAAAACCCAATTCTAGAAGTTGAGATCTTTGATTGCTGGGGGATTGACTTCATGGGGCCCTTCATTTCATCCTATGGGAATCAGTATATACTTGTTGCTATGGACTATGTGTCCAAATGGGTTGAGGCCATGGCTTCCCCTACCAATGATTCCAAGGTTGTAGTGAAGCTTTTCAAGAGCATTATATTCCCAAGATTTGGTGTTCCAAGGGTTGTTATCTCTGATGGAGGATCTCATTTGTGAACAAGACTTTGGAGGGTTTGTTGAGAAAGCATGGAGTGAAACACAAGGTAGCTACTCCTTATCATCCTCAAACTAGTGGCCAGGTTGAGGTATCTAATAGACAGATCAAGGCCATTCTTGAGAGGACTGTTAGCTCAAGCAGAAAAGATTGGAGTAAAAGGTTAGATGATGCATTGTGGGCTTACAGGACTGCCTTTAAAACTCCAATTGGGACATCACCTTTCAATCTGCTATATGGGAAGAGCTGCCACCTTCCTGTTGAGTTGGAGTACAAGGCTTTGTGGGCTGTGAAGTTGCTGAACTTTGATATCAAGACAGCTCAAGAGAAAAGGGTCATGCAACTCCATGAACTTGAGGAGATTAGGCTTGAGGCTTTTGAGAGCTCAAAGATCTATAAGGAGAAGACCAATGTTCTGCATGACCAAAAGATTCTGAAAAGGGAGTTCAAGGATAGTGATTTGGTGTTGCTGTTCAACTCTAGACTTAAGTTGTTTCCAGAAAAACTTAAGTCTAGATGGTCTGGACCTTTTAAAGTTCTTGAAGTGAGACCATATGGTGCTATTGTCTTAGAAGGGAAGAATGGTCAAGAATTTGTGGTAAATGGACAAAGAATCAAGCATTACTTAGTTTCACAAGGGAAGGAGGAAGCTACATCAGTTCCCCTTCTTGACCCACCTCCAGCCTGCTAAACAGGTTTCCAAAGTCAAACTTAGAGACTTTAAACAAAGTGCTCTTGGGAGACACCCCAAGCTTATCCTTGTACATAGTTCTTTTGATTTCTTCTCTTCTCTTTTATGTTTTAGAACTTTTTTATGGGTTTTGTGAGTTAGTCTCAGGTTCTAGGTGATTTTTGGAGGACATAGCTCAGTGATGAATGGAATGGAGCATGTGAGAGGGCTGAGAGAAGTGTTTAGGGCCTGAAAAACTTGGAGAACGCCTCAGTGCTACCTAGGTGTGCGGTTTGGATCAAGAAGAGCCCAGGCCGCAGCAGGACTCGTAATTTACACCTACTTGGATGTGCGACCAAGGAGAAAGGAGACCAAGTCGCAGCATGAGAAGAATGGCCGATGGTGTTTAAGTGCTAAAACCTGCGAGAAAGGAGTGCGACCTGGGAACCAAAAGAGTTAGGCCGCACATATGTTCGCAATTTACTCCAAGTTGTGCGTGCTAGCTGGGAAGCAACGGTTCCAGGTCGCAGCAAGGGAGAAGAAAGGCTAAAGTGTTTAAGTCCAAAAACCTGCACCTCAGTCATGCGACCTGGGAACAAGCAAGACTAGGCCGCACATATGTTCGCAAATCACTCCGACTTGGTCGCGCCAGCTGGGCATAATGGAACTAGGTCGCACCATTGAGGAAAGATCGAACCGAGCTTGAGCATCTTTACTGCGGGTTGGTCGTGCGGGATAGAAAGAGAGTGACTAGGTAGCACAAAAACATTTCCGGTTCTACACCGAGACGGTCATGCAATTTGATCCCGACGGTTCCCGGTCGCACAAGGAGAGAAAGGAGGCCGGTCAACAAGAAAAGGACGGGTCAAAGCCTTGACTGGTCAAAATAGATCTATTGACCACCAGTCCAAAGGCTTGACCCTGTCCCACACTCTCTCTTCCTCACCATAAACCCGAGTTTGCAACTCTTTCTCTCATTTCTCCACCAAATTTGTTGATTCAAAGTGATCTGAACTCGTTTTTGAGTTGTTAACATCATCCTGATTGCATTTCGATCTCGTTGCATCTTAATCCCAAGGTATTTCATTCTGTTAAAATTCACCTTTTTCCATGTTCTTCAATGGTGATTTTTGAATTTCAAGGTGTGGAATCGATTTTGATAGGTTGTTTTAGACCTTGGGATTATTTTTATAAATGATAGGGTGCTAGATAGTCTTGGAAAACAGAGCACTTTTTTGGTAATTCTTTGTTCTTGAGTTTTGAAAAT